GTATAGTAAGAACTGTATAGTAAGAACTTTGAGTCTTTAAACAAAGAAATTAAAGAAGATGCCAGAAAATGGAAAGATCTCCCATGGTCTTGGATAGGTAGGATCAACATAGTGAAAATGGCAATCTTGCCAAAAGTAATCTACAGATTCAGTGAAATTCCCATAAAATCCCAACACAATTCTTTACAGACCTTGAAAGAACAGTACTCAACTTCATATGGAAAAACAAAAAGCACAGGATAGCCAAAACAACCCTATACAATAAAGAAACATCCAGAGGTATCACCATCCCTGCATTCAAGCTCTATTATAGATCCATGGTTCTGAAAACAGCTTGGTATTGGCACAAAAATAGAGAGATAGACCAATGGAATCAAATTGAAAACTCCTGATATTAACCTAAACACCTACAAACATCAGATTTTTTTATAAAGAAGCCAAAGTTATACAATGGAGAAAAGAAAGCACCACCCAAAAATTGTGTTGACATAATTGGATTCAGACATGCAGAAGACTGCAGATTGATCCATGTCTATCACAATGCACAAAACTTAAGTCCAAATGGATCAAAGACCTCAACATAAATTCAGCCACACTGAGCTTCCTAGAAGAGAAGGAAGATGGTACCCTGGAACAAATTGGTTCAGGAGACTGCTTCCTGAACATAACTACAGTAGCACAAACATTGAGATCGACAATTAATAAATGGTACCTCCTGAAACTGAGAAGCTTCTGTAAGGCAAAGGACACAGTCAGCAAGACAAAATGCCAGCCCACAGAATGGGAAAATATATTCACTAACCCCATATCTGATAGAGTGCTGATAACCAAAATATACAATGAACTCAAGAAGCTAGTCACCAAACAACAAGCAATGCAATTAGAAAGTGGAGTGCAGAACTGTATAGAGAATTCTCAACAGAGGAATCTAAAATGGCTGAAAGACACTTGAGAAAGTGCTCAACATCCTTAGCCACCAGGGAAATGCAACTCAAAACCACTCTGAGATACCATCTTACTCCTATCAGAATGGCTAAAATCAATAACACCAATGACAGTCTATGCTGGAGAGGATGTGGAGAAAGAGGAACACTCCTCATTGTTGGTGGGAGTGCAAACTTGTACAACCACTTTGGAAATCAGTATGGCAGTTTTTCAGGAAAATGGGAATCGGTCTACCTTAATATCCAGCAATTCCTCTCTTGGGCATATACCCAAAGAATGCACATTCATACACTAAGGACTGTTATAAATCTTTCCACCAAAAGCTGCCGAGCCCCATCTCCATGTGTGTGCTTTATGCCAGCTGCCCACCTGAGTTAGGGCCCAAATGAATATACAGAAAGTTGTATCAGGTACAAAGCTGCTTGCCCAATGACTAGGATTCTCATCTGTTAGCTCAGTCTCAATTATCATAAATCTATATATTTTATAAGACAGACTTATCTTATAGAGGATGCCTTCCGCTGGCACCCTCCCTTGCTGGTTGATCACATTGTGCCGCTAGAGGAGGAGCAGAGGGGAAAGAGGGGATACTTCTTGTTTCCCCTTTCTTAAATATGAGTCTCCTCACTATGTCACTTTGCTACTACATTTCCCAGAATCCTTTTTGACTCCTAGTCCTGCCTAACTTGCTGCCTCATTGGCAAAACAATACTTTATTCAATAATCAATAAGATGAACATACACAGCACATTCCCCATCAAAGGAAATATGTTCAACTATGTTCATAGCAGCATTATCTGTAGTAGCCAGAAACTGGAAGCAACCTAGATGCCCCTCAACTGAAGAAGAGATACAGAAAATGTACATTTACAATGGAGTGCTACTCAGCGGAAAAAAATCAATGGGTCTTGAAATTTTCAGGCAAATGGATGGAACTAGAAGAAACCATCCTCAGTGAGGTAAACCAGTCACAAAAAAGATAAACATGGTATGTACTCACTCATATATGATTTTTCGACATAGAGCAAAGAATTACCAATCTATAATCCACACTGCCAGAGGAGCTAGGAAAGAAGGAGGACACCAAGAGAAGATTGCTTACTCCCTTGAAGAAGAGGAGAGGGACAAGAACCCCAGAACAAGGTGGGAGAATGGGGGGGTGGAAGGAGGTGGGAAGGGAACAAGGGTTTGGGGAGGAGAACAAGAGGAATGAAACAGGAGGGGAATAGAGGAGGGCAAGAAAGGAGAAGCCTTGAAAGAGGGAGACAGTACAGGTTTGGAGAGAGGTCTGGCACAGGGGAACTATTAGGGAATCCACAGGAATGACCCCAACTAAGAATCCAAGCAGTGGTGGAGAAAATGACATTGGTGCCCTTCCCCTATAATGAGATTGATGTCTACCTTGGTTATCATTCTTAGAGCCTTCATCCAGTAGCTGTTCAAAGCAGATGCAAGCACCCACAGCTAAGCATTGAACCATATTCCTGGAATCCAGTTGTGAAGAGGGAGAAGGGTTGAGCAAAGGAGCCAAAATGGTGCTGCAGAAACAGTTGACCTGACCTAGTGAGAGCATGGAGACCCTAGTCATAAAGCTGGGGAAACAGCATTGGACCAAACCAAGCCCTCTGAATGTGGGTGCCAGCTAGGAGGCCAAGACAATCTCTGGGACCTCTAGCAATAGAGCCAGTCTTTATCCCTAGAGCACAAATGGACTTTGGGAGTCCATTCCCTATGGAGGGATACTATTGCAGCCCAGATACAGCAAGGAGGGCCTAGGCCCTCCCCCAAATGATATGACAAACTTTTATGGCCCCTGGTGGAGGGCCTCACTATCCCTGGGGAGGAGTTGGGGGATGGGTTGGGGGGATTGGTGGGAAACAATGGAAGATGGTAGGGTGAGGGAATGAGGGGGATGGATATGTAATATGAGTAGTAATTAAAGAATTTAATAAAAACTAAAAACAGAAAGACTGCAATTAAGAAAAACTCATCTTCTTAACATAAAACATGACATCTTCAAAAAAGTGTGCAAAGCTAATGAGTTTATCAAGATTGTAAGATGCAGTTTCAAAAAAATGAAATAAATTTTTGCCATAGATTATCAACAGACTATCAGATATCAAGGAAAACAAACCCAGAAAAGTTAATGAAGCATTAATTGAATGAAAAGATACTCTGTTTTTGATTGTTTGAAGTTCCAAATAACAGGCTAACAGAGATGGTTCAGTCACTAAAGCCTGGGATTACCACTAACACATGAAAATACCAACTCTCTGCATACTTGTTTAAATTTGTGCTTTGTTTAGTTAGCAAAAACGCATGCTGACTTTAAATGGTGTAAATAACAAAATTAAAAAAAATAACTTTGAAAAAAAGATGTGGGTGCTGGAGAGATGCTTAGTGATAAGAGGGCTTTCTGCTGTTCCAGAGACATGAGTTCCATTCTCAGCAACCATATCAGGCAGATCTCAGCTGCTTTTAATCCAATTCCAGGGCTTCTAATGGTCCTCTGAGTAAACACACACACATGCACACACACACACACACACACACACACACACACACACACACACACACACACTATGCACTTACACAGACACATCCAAATATGCATGAATAAAAACAAACATTAAAAAGGAAAAGTATTTGATCTATAGAGAAAACACCTTTTTGAACTTTAGAGTTGACATGTAGGATTTGTTTTTTTTTTTTGTTTGTTTGTTTGTTTTTCCAACTTTTTAATTTGAATTAGAAACAGGATTGTTTTACATGACAATCCCAGTTCCCTTCTCCCACCCGAACTCCCCATCCCCCCCCACCCAACTAAAACCTTATCTGTCACATATCTTTTCTGCTCCCCCTGGATGGTGAGGCCTTCCATAGGGGGTCATCAGAGTCTTTCATATCCTTTGGGATAGGGCCTAGGCCCACCCCCGTGTGTCTTGGATCAGGGAGTATTCCTCTATATGGAATGGGCTCTGAAAGTCCACACCTATGCTAGGGATAAATACTGGGCTTCTACAGGAGGTCCCATAGATTTCTGAGGTTTCCTCACAGAAACCCATGTTCCTGGGGTTTGGAACTCTTGCTCCCCAGTCTGATAGTCCCAGCATGGGACTGATCCAGACATGTAGGTTTTGACAAGGCTAAATGTTCCACTATCTGATCTGCAACTAAACTAGGACAAGAGAGTTCCAAGTAAGATTAAGAAAGTGGGTTTCTCTGTTCTTAATATCCCTGAGTAGAGGCTGTTAATCATTATCATGTATGAGAAAAGAACAGCTGGCAGGAATGTCTGCTGTAGAGAATGTATCTATGTAAATGCATAAAACAAAAAAATCAGAAAGTATTAGTTAAGAAGAGTCAGGTGCAACTCGCTGTATAAATGAAATGATGCTGAGTCATTGGCCATAATTGCAAGTAAAAGCCAAACAAAATAAAACTCAATGTCAGTTAGATGACTCACTATTTTAAAGAGACAAACTCTAGCAAGAATACAAAAGATATGTGATCAGTAGACTGTTTATAATGCAAAACCCTCTATCCAACTAAAGCTTTTCTGCAAACTAAAGCATTTATAATTAATATATTTTCAGTACTTTGTACAAGATGGGATTAAAATGAGTTTTAAAACAACAGGGAAAAGTGAATGCTACAGTCAAGTCTATAGGAAGAAAGAGAAGATAAAAGGGGATAATTCCGTTCACTCTATTGTAATTTCAGCCTGAAAACCAGAAATGATAGAAAACTTTAAAAACAAATGCAGATTGCACAGTTGTATGATAAAATCTATTAATAAAGGTTTCAGTAGATAAGAAAAGTAGATGGGTAAGAAGAAAAAAAAAAGAACCTTGGTCAACTGGTGGATAACAAGACCTGGCAACCTGTGACATACAGTACCAGCTGTGGGGGAGCTGTGTGGTTACAAAGACTCCAAGCAGAGAGGCAGCATGATATTGCCTTAGCATCTCTGGTCTTTAGCCGGGTACCATTAATATTCTTGAAAACTGCACCTAACTTCTATTTCTGAGGGGGTCCTAGAAAGTATTACAAACCTTGATCACTGTTGGGTCAACGTATGCAATCGTGCGAAAGGCACCTGACAGATACCTGGTAGTCACAACAGGGGCCAGGGCAAGGTTGGCTTTAATTTTCTGTGCCACCTGTGGGTTTGTTGCAAATGCCCCATAAGCTGAAAGAAAACAAGAGAATAGATTACTTTTTCCTATTCTCTCTTGGTTCCAAGTTCTGTGTCATTTTTAATCACAACAGAGACTCTACATGTATTCTTTGTCATATTTGTGAAACTTTGCTTGGGTAATTTGATTCACCTGGAAGAACACCACTAGGTTACTTTCTTTAAGCTACATTTGATGTGGACCTCATTTTAACTGTCACTGTGAAAGGTTTTGTTTGTTTAACTAAATATTCAATAACTTAGTATGCTGTATTACAAAAAAAAAATAAGTGACTAATTAGCCAGAGCATTAGGGACAGGCCCTGCAACCACAACTAGGGGTCTCACAAGTAGATCAAGCTGCACAGCTGGCACACATATGCAGAGGACCTAGGTCAAATTCATGCAGGCTCCCTGCTGTCCATCCAGAGTCTTTGAACTCCTATGAGCCCAGGTTAGTTGTTTCTGTGGGTTCCCTTGTGAAGACCCTGGTTTCCAGGAACCTATTCCTCATTCTGGGTTTCCTTGCGAAGCCTCAATACAAGTAGAGGAGCTTAGTCCTTCCTCAACTTGATATGTTATGCTTTGTTGACACCCATGGGAATCCTTCTGCTCTCTGGTCAGAAACAGGAGTAGGGAGGGTTGGGTGGGGGATGGGAATGAGAGTAGAGGAAGGACAGAAAACTGTGGCTGTGATGTAAAATAAATGAATACATTTCATTAACAAAATAAATAAATAAAAATTAAAAATGTAAAAATTAAAAAGTGACAAATCTAGAAAAATCAAGTATTTCCTGATTGTTAATTAATCTCTCTTACAATTGGAATCTAGAATGTTACATTTCTGTTACATTGATCTTTTAAGTATTTTCCTTCTGGTCATACTGAAAGTTGTTTGCATGGAAAACTTGTATACACCTTCACATTTAGATGATTGGTTATGAGGGCTGAGTAGACTATCTTTAGAAAAAGACATAAAAATTTAATGGGCACCAAAATTTCAAATTAATTTTTGTTTTATCATTAAAATCTTCTCTAATAGTTGGATATTCCCTCTTCTATGGCTGGAGAATGATATTTATAGCTTCTACTTGTATGGTCCTCCAATCCCAGGCCTTGTGTGTGTACACAAACACAATAAAATTTGGTAAATATTATTCCATTTTTGCACTAGTTCTTCATTAAGGATTTCTTTGATCTTAGGGAACATTACTAACATGAGAAGACAATTTTGCTTGTTACAATTCCCATCTAGTTAGTAGACACTCCAGACACTACTTAGCATCATAGAATGAATATCCTCCAAAGACATCCTCAAGAGAAAACATGTGGCCCAGTAAATATGAGGGCCTGTGCTATTGATCCCTTATCTTTCCTAAATAGACTGTGAGTTTCAGGAGAAGTAAATTTCCTTAGTGTACTATGTGCATGGTAGCTAACTGCCAGCAAAGTACTCAAGCAGTAAGAAGGCTATTTTCAAACCAGTTGCATGCAAATTGTTTAGAAATGTTTTTCCAGGGAGTATAAGGTTTGGAAGCATGCATTTTTTCTTGTAGTCACATTATGTAAATTAGCATGCCTCAGATTATTCCAGCAAAATACTACTCAAAGCTCTGTGGATGCTCACTGGGACCTCAGAAATCAGTTAAGGATATCAAAAAACAATTTGTTAAGCTTAGTTTTGGAAAGTGCTAAGAATCCCAAGTGACTCTATCACATTTTTGCATTGTTCACATATCTCATTTCTTTGAAATGATGATTATTTTAAAGAGCAGATAATGAATGTATCTATTATTCTATCTGCTATTTTGAAGATTAGCCAAGTGCAATCAGCCATGCCTGTAATCAACCATTTGAGAAGTGGAGTCAGAGGCTTGCATGGTGGAACCCAGCCGGGGTAGGCAGCAATACTCTGTGCCAAACAACAACAAACATGGCTGTCTGTTAGCAAATTAAACCACTGCAACAAATGAATTCATTTTTTGGCTAGTCTGAATGTTTGTAAATACTGACAAAATGTCATTTCTATAAATGAAGTTATTTTTAAAGAATGCTTATGTGGTTTACAATTAAAAATTACAAGATGGGCAGATTTTAGTCTCTCTCAGCATACCAAGAAGGGTGCCCTGGGAATGGCCAACATAGTAGATTTGTTTCTGTCCTGTCTTGTTCACAATGAAATCAATGATGGCTGGAATGTCAAATTTTATTTGTTCATCAAAACTGTATAAAACAGAAATTAAGGAGTTTGGTTAATTATAATAATTAAGCATTATCTTTTCAGGGGAAACCCTGACTTGAAAAAAATTTCCAAAGAGACGCATGGGTACTGAGATAACACTAATCAAATATCTACTGCATGCTCTGCATCATGCTCCCCATCACACACCCCCATTTCCTACAATGCTCACAATGCTGTGAAATGATCTTTTGTTTGGTCCCTTTGAACAGAGTCAAGGATCAGAGCTATTTAAGTGACTTACTATATCTCTAATTGCATTTGTTCTACATCTGAATTTATTAGATAATATGCCAGATAATATTCCCATGACATATGTATGTCTAGTTTTTATTTGTATGTGAGTAAGACATGTTAAAATGATCAATAAATTAGAGTATTTTCAAAAATGGAAACAGGAAGAAGTTTCTCAATGATTTTCTGACATTTTGTGATAGAAATGAACCTTGTACGTTTTGTTCCTCTTATTCCTTCCCTGTTTTTGTTTTCATAAATATAAAAGCCTCAACAAAAGTAAAAAATAAAAAATATAGATGATTAGAAGTTAAGCATATGCTCATCAAGTTGTATGAACAAAATATGAACGCTTTATCTATTCAAATATACCTCAATGAAATATTTCCTAAAAGAAGGAGACAAAATAGCAAAGTGATTAGTACTTACAAGTAAGGAGATATATAGAAATGATATTTAAAATTTGCTTTTATCTTTAAATTAATAATATAAAATTTTAGGCAAACATTTACCTATCAACCTTTTAAAATATCATTCATTCAAGGAGCTGGAGATGTCTCCATGCTTCAGGAGACTTACTTGTCTCAATAACATCTCACAGACATCTAAACTCCAGCTCTAGGGCGATGGATGCAAATCCTGGGACCAATGTGCTCCATACACGCACACACACACACACACACACACACACACACACACACACACACACACACACACACACACACACATATACATACACACTAAATACATACACCACACATGCACACACACACACATAGTCACACATCCATATGTACACACACCCCCACATACACACACACATACATACACACATACACACACTCACACACATACACACATTCTACATGCACACACATGCATACACACATACATACACACACATACATACACATACACACAGACACATAGACACACACACTAAAAGTAAATCATATATTATTCAAAATATTATTCTTATGACATTTTAATGAAGTTATTTTAGTCATTGAGTAAATTTGTGACAACTTATAAGTGTTAAACATAGCTTTAAGGAAAACAAACCAAGATAAAAGATGTTTCCTCTTACCTAAAATCCCAGAATGCTTCAGAATTTGGGTCTAGGTACACATGTTTCATGGCATAATTATTGCCTCTGCTGTTCCCCAGCCACACATCAAAATTAGCATCTGCCAGAAGGAAGCCCAAGCTGCTACTGGGAGGGTTGAGAATCCAAGCAGAAGCAGATAGAGTCAAGCCATGCTGCAAATACACTACTGTCTTTGGGGCTGAAAAGAAAACATATTTGTTATTTATTATTGACTTTTATGAACACAAAATAATGGAGCTCATTATATTTTATGCATGTATGTCATTGCAGCATTCTCATATTTGCATCTTCTATTATCCTCTTTGACATCTATTTCCTCCCTAGGAAATACTTGATAATATTTTCACTCATCATAGAACTGTTGGATTCGGGTTTTTGCTTGTTTGTTTTTGTTTCGTGATACTGTCTCCATGTATAAGCCTGAATGGCCTGGAACTTGTTATGTCAAGCCGGGTGGCCTCAAACTCAACAGATCCACTTGCTTCTGCCTCCCTAATGCTGTGATTAAAGGCAACAAGGCTTGTTTTTTTGTTTGTTGGCGTGTTTGCCATAATGAAGATGTAAATCGAATAGAAGTGTTAACAGCTGGTTATCCTCATGCTATATAAATAAAAATCATGCAGTTTCTTCAGAGTAAAATAATCACTGTGCTCATTAGATCCCATTTTCTTCCTGCTCCTTATTGAATAGATATGAATTTCCCTAAAGTTTTTAATTTATAAAATTTTCAAGCTTTATTATTTTCTAGTAAAAAGTTTAAACTCATGTAAGGCAAATGACAATATGAAAATTATATAATAAATAACTACAACAATAAGTCATTGAACATGAATATCATCTGTGGGACATCTAAACATATAGTCAGAATGAACCAGGAGCAGCAATCATCACCTAGAAGGATATTGTGAACTCTCACAGCAGCAACTCAAGCATTACAGAGTCAGTGGGCTTAGAGGTTCTTGGCTTTTTAGGCAGGGATTCTGAGCTTTTATCCTCTGCAAAATCTAAATTTATGAGACAGATGGTGTTTATTTGTGTAGTAATAGGAACTACCATGGCAGGTATCACACATACTCCTGATTTGCATGTGGAATCCAGGGAGGTTTGGAAGCTTCTTATTAGAGGTAACTGATGGAGGGATTTTCACAGAATGCATTTAAATCTCAGTACTTGTTGTCACTCACTGTTACATGAATCCATGGTCTCGTTCTTCCCGCATGGAATCCGGTAAATTGGAAGAATGTAACCATCACCACTCACAACTTCATACACTTCCCATTTATAGCCCCAATAGGAAATAATCTCACTCTAAATGTGGAAGAGAAAACATATTGACTTTCATTAGTTTGGTCGTCTGGACACTTTTGTGATTCTTCAGTAAATTTCCTTTATAGAGTATATTAACAATTTCTGTGTAAAGAGAAATTTCAGGTTATCGTACATGCAACAATTGGGAAAGAATGAGTGAAACTAATAGAGGTGAATCTTTGAAGTGTGTTGATTAATCAGAATAACTTACAATATTCATATTGGCTTCAGGGTTCTTCGGTTTGGGTTTCAACAAACAAAGTATGTTTCCAATTACATGAACAAGCCAAATTGTTTTCAGTAGCCACCACATTTAAACCTGCTGGGAGGTAGGTATTAGCTTGATACAGTACATGTCTCCATGTAAACTCAGGTTATTGGATATGCATTATGTCTATCTGTCACCTTCCTTACTTGAAAGTTGGCCATGTCATTCTATAAGACTCAGAAATATCTCTATACTTTCCAAAAGACAACTTAGATGAAATTCAAATTAATTGCCCAAGCTGTTCAGAAAACTACCTTTCTGCCCCTTAGCTTTTCATGAAACTTATATAATTCTCTGCCACTTCCTGAAAAATATCATGGAAATGTATTTGGATCTTCTCTTAACTTAATCAAAATCATTATCTGGCTTTTTCAATGAAGCTATTACACAAGTTAACCCAAAACAGTTGACAACTTGACTACAACAGAATAAAGCTAAGAAGAGTGATAGAAGGACCATAACATAGGGTATGTGAGAGCAAAGTGGGATGAACAGTCACGTGATATAGAGCTTGTGGCTCAGAGGGACTTTATCTAGTCACTACTGCCAACCCCCCCTTTTTTTTTTTTGAGAAATATTAACACAGATATATTCCACTAACAGTTTTGGAATTTTCTTTGTAGACATACCTTTTGAAAAGTACAAATACTGGTAATGAAATATTTTCAACACATATTATTCTCTCTCCCACTGATATGGAGCCCAGAAACTGTAGACCCCGCTCTGTGTTCTGTTCTAGTTTTTTACCCCATAAACCATTTATATCAAAGCACAATGGAGAAAAGAAGAAAGATACACTCTAGTAAAATAACTTCAGTACAATAGATCATGATGATGAATTTAAATGAAAGTTGTGCTGTGCCTAGAATAGCATGAATTTCACTCATGGATATGTTAATTATGAGTTGAAATTTTAAGAAGTTTGAAATACCACAACTTCATACTCACTGTCACCAATGTAAAGGCTCTAGGTGTTCTGGAGTGTAAGTGAAATTTTAGTTCTCCTTGTTCTTTTCTCTCTATAAATATCTGTGTGAATATGTTCTTTGGAAGACCTTTTCTACAAGGGACAGTGGCTTGGATTACAGTGAACTCTGACATTTGCTAAGAAACCAAATATTTGAAAAGCTCTCAAGATGGACATGGTCCCAAAATTTTTCAGAGCTTTGCATGCCTGAAATCTCTCATGTGGTGTAACATTTCTTGGCTCCCAGTGCCCTGACTGTCCATTATGGTAAACATCAGAGCATTCTTCAGAGATTATGAAGGGATAATTAATCAATATGTATTTTTGTTAAAACTGTAAATATGACCATCTGCTATGAACTGTAACTAATGTTATCAGACATTTTGCTGTTTGTTGTTAATGGAGTTGTGTACTTACAAATGTTGCAAACATGGACAAAGTCGGGTTTTGAAAGCAGTTTTTCTGTAATTTAACTAAGGAAAAAGAGCTGTCTAATTTGGGAGATATTAAAAACGCATCCATGGTAAAGCGTTAAGAAATAAGGCATGGGGGACACACGTGATTATTGTCCTAGTGTGATTTCTTTACTGTGTTAAATGTGGTAGCAAAGAGCAACTTGGGAGAAAATGGTTCATTTTGCTTACATCTCCAGTCATAGTCCATCCTTAATAGAAGCCAAGGCAGGAAATCAGGCAGAAGTAGGAAGCAGAGGCTTTGGGGTTAATTGTGCTAACTGGCTTGCTCCCCATGGCTTGCTCAGTGTCTTTTCTTATACCATCCAGGACCATTTGCCCAAGGATGGCATCTCCTACAGTAGGCTGGACCCTCCAACCTCCATCTTTAATCAAGAAAGTGCTCCAAGACTTGCCTGCAGGCTAGACTAATGAAAACATTTTCTCAACTAAGGTTCCCTCTTTCTAGATGCCCTGAGCTTGGTCTTATCTCTGGATTATAGGTACATGTAGAAGGAGAGAACTGACTACAAAAATCATCCACACACACACGCACACACACACACACACACACACACACACACACACGATGCACACAAGCTTATACACACTCTTCATGCACTCAGGCACAATTACAGTAAAATGAAACATTAATAATAAATAATATTAAAAACAAAGTCTGATTTTCCCCAGATCTTGATTCCTAGATCACTTTTTCTCTCCATGTATTATCCCCTTTATGATTCCACCTGGTATTAAGAATTGACAAAAAGCAAGCACCTATAATATTCTAAAATCTCCAGCACAAGGAAGTAAAAGAATCGTTGCCCTTACAATCGATTTTCATATTTTGTTATAGCAACACATAAAACACATCTAATCATGGTCAATGTAAAATCAATATGTCTGAAAATAGCCATACATAGAATACTAAGAACTCTGGGATGGCTGGAGAGGAATTACCCTAAGAGGAGGATGACAGGGAAATACTGGCTTCACTAACAAAGCAAAATAGGAAATTTTGCAAAAAGGAACAGAATGAAAGATTCCTGAATTCATTCTGCAGAAATTAGCACATACAGGGGAATGTTCTTAATACAATGAGAGAGACTGTACCTAAGGAAGGATGGAACCACAGTTTAATAGAGGGAGATAGGTTTAGGATACGTGCACTGGATTTTCAGTAGCTTGCTTGTCTATCTACCTATCATCCGTCTATCTATCTATCTATCTATCTATCTATCTATCTATCTATCTATCTATCTATCTATATGTCTGTCTGTTTGTCTATCTATCTATCATCTATCTTTCTATCTAATCTATCTATCTATCTATCATCTGTCTGGATGTCTGTCTGTCTAAAGACAGAGTTTCACTAGGTAGTTTTGGCTAGTCTGAAACTTGCTTTGTATTTCAGGCTGTGCTCAAACTCACAGAAATTCTCCTGCCTCTGTCTCCTGAGTGCTGAGATTAAAGATGTGTACCACTACACCCAGACACTTTATTCTCTAAACTACAATTATATATTTTCTGTGTGTATAACAGTATTTGATTTGAAGCTAATCTTGGCATAATAATAAAAACAACATGTATGTTACACAAATACAAAAGACAGGATTGAAAAGAAGCAAATAATACAAGATAACAGAATAAAAGTAAAGGATAAAATACAATGGAATATGATAAAACAATTGAAAACTAAACAGTGTTAACCATTTTATTTTTGCAGAAAGGACACAATGTACTTTGGGGAAGAGGCAGCCTCTGAATAAATGGTGCTGGGGAAACTGGAGATTAACACATAGAAGAATGAAGATCAAGCCTCATCTCATAAAATATAAGTGTGCCATTGGTGACAGAAACTCGTGACACAACAATCAAAACAAACAGTGAATGAAAACACTATAAATGATTAAATCTGTGATAAAAAAGATGGTAGGGAAATAAACTTTTTCTCATGTCTGAACAATTTTTATCATGTCTACCTCTCCACTTATTTAATTCATATCAGAGGATAACATTTTTATCTTTTATCTGTATTGATTAGAATTGTAAATATTTTAGATGAAATAGTTTTTAAAACATTAACTTTCATTATTTTAAATTTGGAAAAATGGATTTTGCTTTTTTCTGTAAAATGTAGGGAAGGGGTGATATTTTTCATCCAAAACTTCCTATGATTTGAGTATGTGAATATGTGCAGGAAGAATGTATGATAATTGATTGTGAGGTGTTAATCAATGATCAGTGAAAGAGTTGATACATTCATGATTTTATGGGTGAATGGACTGAATAATCCTTATCGTGAGCCATGAAATCTTATGCATCCTGTTTACCATTTATCAGATGCCAATATCACTTCAAGGCTCTGCCAGCAGACATAGGCACTGGATTTAGCAATGGCCAGACATCAGTACCATGAGCCCACAAGGCTTATGGTTGACAAATCACTATCTGTAGATTATTTTTTAACACAAACAGGCTTAGACACAACTTTTTCTTTTACCAAATACTGTTCTTTTTCCCTCTGTGTTCTCTATTTCTCTACACTCTATGATTCCCTTTTCATTTTTCATTATGTTTCCTCTCAGCAAGGCCCTCCAGTCCTTTCTACACTCAGAAACACAGTGGTTCTGTGGAGGACACCAGCACATTAAACTCAAGATCAAAGTATTCTTCCACGTATGGCTTTCTTTTGTTTTGTTTGTTTGTTTGAGACAGGGTTTCTCTGTGGCTTTGGAGGCTGTCCTGGAACTAGCTCTTGTAGACCAGGCTGGTCTTGAACTCACAGAGATCCGCCTGCCCCTGCCTCCCCAGTGCTGGAGTTAAAGGTGTGCACCACCAACGCCTGGCTGACTTGTGGCTTTCCAAATGAGTTAATGTCATGGTTGATGACATAGTGGGAGAAAGCTATAAATGAATTCCTAAGTGAGAACTTCTCAGACTTTGACCCATTCAAACCACCAGGATATAACTAAATGCAGCTATTGTTTAGCGTGGGTGAGGTGCAATGTTCTGGATTCCTAATGGCCCCAACCATCCAAGCTGAAAGGTTCATGCTCCTTGGCTGACTAGGCACAGAGAAACAGGCTGAGTGCCTTTCCTGTTTTTGAGCAGAAAGAGCAGCTGTTTGTGGGCATCACAGGACCTTCCTCATGCCCAGCCTGTCAAGTCCTTTTAGTCACGTTCTTGCTTCATTGCTTACCATGCTTGCAATTGTTGACGTTTCACAAAAGGGGTTAAACATAGGGAGTCTTCTTTAATCACCCCAAAGAAAACTTACCATCTCTGAGGAGCAGGGTACACTTATGACCACCTGTAACTCAGGTCACCGGTAGGATTAAGCAACACTTATGAATGCTTATTTCCTTATGGATTATTTACACATGCTAGAATAAACAGACATCTGTCAGATGGATGTGGAACATTAGAGATCTGAATAAGTTCTGAGTGAAGGGATGTGACCTCACCCACTGTCCCCAGCTTCATTTGTTTCATTTTTCCAATGATAAGAACTTTGACGTGCAGTTCCCCAAAGGCAAGCGAAACTGTTTGGCTTATACAAAACTGAAGAATCCAAATTTCTATAGCATTCCCAAATCCACACTCTATAGCCTACCAAGATA